AAACCCCCCCCCCCCCCAGATAGCTAACATGTGCAGATTGGTCATCACACCTGTTTGAATTCATAACATTATGTGACTGCGTTACTCCTGCATGTATTGTTTAATAAATAGACTGAGAAATGCATCATCGAACACTGTTCAGAGCTAAATTAGAACAAAATACTAAATCAAAGAAATTTCTGCATTCCGTCCACGTGTTTTGTTTGAAGGAGAACGTACAACTGAAACCGAATTCGGCTCGTCTGATCTGGACTCACGACGGTGTGGAGAAGTTCGATCCGCAGAAACACGCCGGTGTCTATGTATGTCGTGCGACCAACGCGTATTCATCCAGTGTGAAACAGTTCTACCTGCCGCAAGATATGATGCCCGAAGGTAAACGGCACATTGATAAACAAGCGCGACTTGATATGCACATGTGAAATCCTATTTGATAGCCCAATGTGTAACTGGTTCAGTTGCCTAAACTTGTGTATTTTACGCATGAAACACAGTGATAACACCCTAGGAAAATATGATAGGTTCCCTAGCTCGAGTATTTGGCGTACACAATTGAAATTCATTCCATGATTAGTTCCGAATAGATGTTGAATTATTGCTTCATCTGTTGGATGTTAGCTTATTCCATTGAAATAGCCCAATAAATAATTCACCCAGCGTACTTTTATCCCCATATCTCTGATCGTCATTTCTCTCCTGTAGCAACTAAACATCGGTTCCGCTCTGCTCAACCGTTTCAGAACCCATCCCGATTTCCGATCACAAAATTGAGATAACTTCGGACGTGAATCAGATTTTCCTTGAAAACGCAGATCGATACACCCGAGTGATTCAGGGCAGTCCGTTTGAAGTAAGTAAAGTGTGCATGAAAGTCCAGGGTTTGTTCCACTGCATAGGCTTTTGAGTGGAATTAAGAATGAACATCATGTGAAAAGTAGAGTTAAAAGCCTCAGGGCCTTAGGGACCATTTAGACTGCATTACATTTACCACAACTGAAAATGATGTTCAGAAATTCCTAAATAGTATAATAACAATTTTGATTGAATACGTGTAGTAAACTCCTGTTGAAGTATTGGCGGGCAAAGCGGAATGTAGATCCTTGGCTGGAAATAACTCTGCGTCGTTGCATTACAGCTGTTGTGTACATACTACGGTCATCCGGCACCGGCTGGTGGTTTGCAATGGACCGTGGAACGGATCAATGAAATGGGCCAGTCCGCTGGGTCTCCGTCGATCGCCATGCTCGGACTACGTGTGCAATCTGGACGTCGATACTGGTCGGAAATTGGAACACCCAAATTCGATGCGATGGGCAAGCACGCCGGGGTGTACCGATGCGAGGCACTGTCACAAGATGGTCGTGTGATTAAACAAAGCCTGATTCGAGTCGAGTGTAAGTGACCTATCGTGTTAACATTTTGCGAAACCCTCAAAGTGATTTTTAATGTATGCTATCGTTTACGAAAGCTAATCAGTGACGCTGTTTTATACGTCACTTAAACGAATTTTCCGGCGAGTGCAAAATAACAATTGTCTTGGTTGTATCCTCCTCGAGTAAAGAAAAATAGTAGTCCTATGTTTTGGAGATTTGTAATTTCTGTTCCGTTAGCAAGTAATAGAACAAGGTGGAAGTAAGCAATGGGTGAAAATAATGATAATAATAATATTATTTATCGAAAGTAGAATTTGAAAGTGCACCAATGCAAAGGAATATATTGAAGGATTATTCTCCCATCAAGTACAACAATGGTGGAGTTTCTCGCCGAAAAATAATGCAACACGAACGACAGCATAGATCAGAAGATCGAAATGACTGTTTCAAAAGAAAGAAATGCGAGTAGGTCAGACTGCAGTTGACCTGTGTGTCTCCTAATCGAAGAAGGAACAGAATTTTGGTTTTAAGTGTTAAAAATAGCAAATGTTGTCTGTTCGTAGCATCATGGACGGATTTACCGTGGACAATAAGCTGCTCGCACCATGAATAGCAAAATATGGATGCGCCGTTTCGATTTCATTTCTAGTTAAATCACCACATTCATTGAGATTCGAACCCGGGTACGACAGTTCAGCAATGCGTTAACACTATTTGTTCGGTTTAACTGAGCCCTAAATGCCCACCCCATGGTACAGCGTTCATCTGCCACTGTACGGTAAATAATAAGTGATTTTTATTATACATTATTCTATTATCACTAAGGTGAAAATATACATCTACTAAAGTGATTCTATTTACCGAGAGAAATTTTCGTTGGCTTATCAATAGTATTGTAATAAACGGATTGCTGAAATGCTCAAGTTATTGATATTTGCCTTCATTTATCTTCAGTGCATAAAGTCAACGTGCGCATACAAGAATTAACCGATGCTGGTCTCATCGAAGGAACTGAGGGTGACATTGGAGAGATTACATGCAATGCTTACGGTAAGCCCCAAATTTAATCAATCTGAACTGAAACAAACAAAAGCATATGCTTCTCATGATACTGGTCTTTTTACACGCGGGCCTAGAATATTTGAAATTTTCATCAAAATAATAAATAACTTTCCTGGTGTTTTAATCTTCAACGGGAATTGATTTACACGTGGTAAAGTGGTGAGAGTTTACTTTGAATGATGTATAGTTAAATATGTACGCATCGTCCGAACTGATTATGAAATAGCTGGCAAAATTAAAGGTGTCGCAGTAATACTCACTATGACTGGTTTCGAGTTTTGCTGTGTATATTTTCGGTCTTTTTAATGTTGTAAATCAGATATTCGTCATTTTTTATGAGGGCAAGCACAAAAATGAATAAGAGAGAGGAAACTATTCAAAATGATGACTTGTCTAGTGGCCTGAATCCTACAAGACCAATAACCCTACACGTATTTGATCGAGATCCATGATACTTTATCAAGTCAGATCGTTCTGGACGTACTCTAAGCTACTACAGCCTCGACTTGAACTTGACTTTGTGTCGTGTGCCCGAAGATGATTCAATAGTGATAGGTGTGCCGTGTTTGTATTAAAGTTAAAAGACGAAACACGATGTCATGAAGTGCAATTCATCACGAACAGAGAACGGGANACGGGAGAAAGAGAAACTGAAGATCTAGAAGAAAAGGAACATTAGATCTCCGGATGTGTTGAGAATTATTAGCATAACGCATCCACCGGCTCACATGTGAAGAGTTAGTGTACGATCTGTTAGAATATCGCTTTACTGATATTGGTTACGGATGGAACGTTTATTTCGAAAACGGTTTCGGCAACAATGCAATTCCGATGTGTTATAAGCTAGACTGACATTTTTGTCAAAGCGATCCATCCGCACCGGGGTACATTGCTCCCCAGTTGCTTCTTCCATATAACTACAGCTTTTATTTGACCGCATAAGGTCTGATCTATTCACCGAAGTTGATTAGCGTCATGCCAGATTGAACTCCGCGCCCACCTTCTTGAAATTATAGTGACTGAC